TCACTGAAAAATTCTGTGAATAACTTGTGAACTGCATCACATATTTGTGATTTTAATTTTCATAATGTAGCAAAAAACTCCAGAATTAGCCATGAAAATAAACCGATATAATGCATGTACGCTATCCAGTTGTACACAGGCACTGTTTATAAATATAAATAATTGTATCACATATGTAGAAGTATACATAAATTTACATCCATCAAAAACATCAATAAAATGATATCAGCATTATAGTCTGAATTATAATTATTAAAGTGAATACTTATTTACATAGAATGATTACAGCACTCCACTACATTGTGCTAGTCAAACTGGCAACAGTAAAATTATTAAATTATTAATAACTAACGGAAAGGTTGATGTGAATGCTGTGGATAAGGTAAAGTTATTAATTAATCATTTCTAATTGTATCATTTTGTGTTGTAACTGTAGAGGAAGAGAACTCCATTGTTTATTGCTGTTAAGAAAGGTAATACTGAAGCTGTTGATATTCTATTGACTAATGGAGCTAGAACTGATGCTGTGAATAAAGCAAGTTTTTTACAATTTATGCTAAAATAATTGTATATTATATAGTGTTACATTAATTCTATGACATAATAAAAATAAAAATATTGGCCTGATTTGTTTGGAGTAGTTATTTTTTATAATAGGATGGTGAAACCCTATTACATTGTGCCAGTGAATCTGGTGAAGTTGAAATGCTTGAGTTTTGGATGAAGAGAGGAGATTATGATGTGAATGTCAGAGATAAAGTAATTTACTTGAAATTATTAGTCAATTATGTTGTATTATAGAAAAATAAAACACCATTGTTCAGTGCTCTTAACAGGTTTAGTAGTAGTATTGAAGCTGTTGATATTCTATTAACTAATGGAGCTAGAACTGATATTTTTGATAAAGTAAATTACATACACTGAAAAATTACACCAGTGATAACTTTTCATTTTTTGTGAGACAATGTGTTTTGCGTGCATTGTGTTTGTCGATACAATTTGAAAATCTTCATTTTTAGAGTTTCTAAATGAATCTTTTTACAAAATGATTTCCTTTGACAAAATATTGCATATACCATAATTCTTTCAATATCCCAAAAAATTAACTAAATTTAATTAAATTTGTTTAACATATGGCTTAATCTATATTACTCATAATAGTATGATGATACTCCATTACACTGTGCTAGTGAAACTGGTAACAGGGAAATTATCAAATTATTAATAATTAAAGGAAAGGCTGATGTGAATGTTGTGGATAAGGTAAATTTATTAAATAATCTTTTCTAATTGTATACGTTTTGTTGTATTTATATAGAATAAAAAAACTCCATTGTTTAAAGCTGTTAAGAGTGGTAGCATTGAAGCTGTTGATATTCTATTAACTAACGGAGCTAGAACTGATGTTGTGGATAAAGTAAGTAAAATTTTACTAAATTTTTTTAAAAAGGTAATTACCTGATGATGTTAGTTTTTGATTTTGTGATAAAAATAAGGCTAATGGTTTGTTTTGTCATAGGATGGGGAAACTTTACTACATTGTGCCAGTGAATCTGGTGAAATTGAAATGCTGGAGTTTTGGATTAGGAGAGGAGATTATGATGTGAATGTTAAGGATAAAGTAATACATTTGAAATTATTAGTCACTTTATGTTGTGCGTATTATATAGAGAAATAGAACTCCATTGTTTAATGCCCTTGAGAGGTTTAATAGTAGTGTTGAAGCTGTTGATATTTTATTAACTAATGGAGCTAGTACTGATGTTGTGGATACAGTAAGTCACTATGATGTTATTTTTGAGTAAAATGTGTTTGTGTGCGCTCTGTGTGTTTTAGCAGCATTTTAGAATCAAGTGTTGCTTAGTTCACATTTTTACACAATTCAAATGATTTTATTAATTTTATGAGTCT